AAGATCTAATTCTCGTCCGTTTAAAAAATTAGCTTAGTAATAAGTTGATTTTATCGGGTTTTGAGAAGTTATTACTATACTAACTTTTTTAGACGGACGAGAATTAGATCTTATTTTTGGCTATGAAGTCCTAAAGATCTAATGAAACCTTCTATACAGCTTTTTTTATTTCACAATGATTAGTTTTCGTTTTTTTTAAAAAGTACTCTAAACTGTATAAATAATGTAAAATTAATTGAATTTATTAGCCAATCCGACAAACTTCTGCCTATGAGATTAAGGTGTTCTCAAGCAGCTCCCTCGATGTGATTAGCTAGTGATCGAGATGTTACTCAAAGCATTACGATTAATTGAATGGTTATTGCGGTTAATCGAAAAACGAATTGTTAAAACTCATTGTTCGAAAATTTTTTAGCCAATCAGAACATCTCTATGAAAAAAAATTGATCTAAGTGATAATAACGATCAACTTTTTGACCAATCAGATCGTTTGGTGAGGGAGACCTTAGTTATACCTTTAATTAATAAGAAAATAGGTTATTTATGGATTACTGGATTAATTATTTTGATAAACTAACACATGTCTATATCCACAAATTAAATTCATGTGATTACAAGAATTATTATTAACACAAATAGAATAAAGTTAAATAATGAGTATTTATAAACTTAAAATAGCATATTTCAATTGCTTAATAAATATTTTTGCATCTACATTCCAAGATAAAAAATAAAATAATTAAATTTGGAACAATGCGACGGGTTATACACAAGTATCGTTAAAGAATTTACTATATTAAAGCTTATTTTTGTAGAGATCTTTTATTAACTAAATCATTAAACTTCATAATCTCATAGCATAAAAAAGTATTTATTTTTTTAAAGTCTCGAAACAATACATTGCGACTAACTCATTGCTATCAGCTCAAGATTTCAAGATAGTAAGGAAAAGGTATAATAATAAAATAAAATGAAATAAAAACAACAATAAAAAGAGACACCTATTTTCACAATGCTTTTCTCATAACTTATAGCTGTAAACATAACTAAACTCTAACGTGGAAATAGGCGTTGCATGAAAAAAATAAAAAGTAGCAATTAAAAAAAATAAAATAAAATCAGATGTCTTTTTTGTTGCATAAAATATCATCTAAGCACTCAACTAAATCGGTTGTGTCATAACGCGCTTCTTTTGGCATTCCAACGAGTTTTAAAATACCATTAACAACTACAAAAAACCGGAATGGCCACGGTGAATATAATTTTAAGAAAGTATCATCCATCGTGTCTGCTAGTACAGGAATTTCCAAATTAGTTTTTTTAGCCATCTCATGTGCAGCAGCTAAACGGTCAGATAAAGTGCGATGTTCTTTGACATTTACAATGTTGCCAATGGGCCAAACGTCAGAAGCATGTGCTTCTTTAATTTGAATCATATAAAAATCTACTTGTGTTTTATATCGACTATATATATCATTGAGCACATGTGATATACACCGGTATAAAGGACAAGTATATGATCCACCCATAAGAACAAGAGGCCGTCCTGATTTACAAAGTGAACGTAGATGAACTAAATTTGGTAAATTAGTGTTACTGTTATCAATTATTGATGTAAAAATTGACGAATCTAGTGGAACTAATGGACAGTCAGGTGTTGGCATTCCTTCAGTGAGATTTCCAATGTTAGCAATATTATTGCGAACATATACTTGAGTTGTACGGAATTCAGGATCATCTTGATGTGATGAAAGGAAAGTGACATTAAGATTAAATATCATTTACATATATAAAAAGAGAAATTTGCATTACTTACCCGGATAAAGTTGTGGTGCACGCCGCAATAATTGTACTGCCTCATCCGAATATCCAAATTCTCGAACCAACTCATGCTGCATCTGATCAGTAACATCCATCCAATCCTTGCCACTTGTAGGATCGCTCCCAACATCATATTTTTTTTGTATTTCAGGCGAAAATCTTCGCCGTTCTTCTTCGCGTAGCAGAGCCAACAATTTCTCTTTCGTGTCTGGTAGTATTGGGGTAACATAAGCAATAGAAGTATCATTTGAAACATTCTTTGGGTCTAAAGGATCCAAGATTTTCAGAAAAGGATGTTGCACGTTATGAAGCAGGTTGGACATTGTGATACAATCAAAGCACAAGTCATAATCAGAACATTCAGAACATTTATATCTGTAAATAGTAAAATATATAAGGAAAATGTATATCTTTAAGCTCATTAAATACAATGGATATTAACCTCGCCCCTTTCCATTCATGTTTGCCACAATAATTACAGGCAATACCAGCATGAATTCCATTTTGTAGACGTTCTTCAGGCGTTAGCGTATACTGAGTAAGTGGTGGCAATGCGTTAAATTCTATGCGACCACTGGTTTCCTGGAGCATTCCACCACGTAACCTAAGTATAAGATGAAGAGTAGATTCCTTTCGAATACCATAATCTGATAAGGGCCACCCATCTTCTAATTGCTTGCCAGCAAAAATAATGCGTTGTTGATCAGGAGGGATTCTTTCCTTGTCCCAAATCTTTTGTTTAACTTCGTCAATGGTGTCGCTTGATTTTACGACCAGAATGATACATCTTCCGGTTAGAGTTTTCACAAACACCGAAAAAGAATATGGACCGGAAAAATTTTCGGGTGCATTTAATTCTCTATATATTAGATGAGTAGTAGCCCCCTTTGGGATGTAATAATCTAACAAGGTACGCTCATTTTCTAAGTGCCTGTTAAAAAAAAAGAGACGTTGATTATCAGAAGGGATTCCTTCTTTGTCTTCGATCTTTTGTTTAACTTGTTTAATGGTGTTACTCGATTCTACTTGTAGAGTTATTGTTTTTCCGCTTAGTGTTTTCACATTTAATAGACCAGAAAATGAATTAGATTGAAATAAATTAAGTGTGGACTCATTTTTAATCCCATAACGTGCTGTTGTATTAAAGGTTCTAAAGCGAGCTGAGGTATCATAGCGACACATAGCTCCGTCATCAATACTAAAATAAGCTATTTGATGAGAGGGAATGCTTTCTTTATCTTGGATCATGCGAATAACCTGTTCGATGGTGTAACTTCTATTTACTTTCAGCTTTATGTTTTTTTCGTCCATTAATTTTACATAGATCATGATTGTTTCGTATTCCAGATGCAATGTAGACTCTTCCTCGATATTGTAAAACGACAAGGGCTGGTCATCATTCAATTTATCATGTAATTTTATATATTGCTGGTCAATGGGGATACCTTCTTTATCCTGGATCATTTGCTTAACCTCCTTAATTGTGCAATCTCTCCTTGCATTTAACTCGATTGTTTTTTTATTCGTTATGTTCACATAAATTTTTATAACCATTATTGGTCTAATTTCTAGATAAAGTAAGCGTTTTTGAGTAGATTAGTATTGAACTTCTCGCTTTAATTGGTGTAAATGCAAACTTTGATTGAGAAAGCTTTACTGAATCTTTTGAAGTAACTACCGACTGCCTTTACTAAATCTCCTTTCTAAGTTAGAAATATTATCATTACATACATATTTATTCTCTTTCAACATAAAAAAATTATCTCTGCAGTAATAAAGTAGTCACAAAATATTTACCTTGACTCCCAACTTTTCAAGCGTATCATCAGGTTGTATGTCCTTGTCATGGTACACAAGCTTATAGTGCTTGTTGGTGTTCAGTCCGATACAATTTTGAAAACTCTTTAACAACAGTTTTCCGGTCGTTCGTATAGTCACATTTGCTACATAAGTAGAAGCCGTAGAAGCCGTAGAAGCCGGGAAATATTTATGACATGTGTATTCAAGGTTGATAGGAAAAATGGGAGCGGGATCGAGCAAAGTGGTCAAGAGCATTTTGGATTTGGGCGTTATTTTGCAAAAAAAGTGTTCCTTTTATCAAGAACCTTCAAGATAAATTCGGAATTCATATGGATGTTACACTTTCATGCAAAGCTCTTTGAGAATTAGAATAAGCAGAGTTACACAGTATCAATGAAACATTTCGAAGCATTTCGTATCATGTTGATATAAACTCATGAAGCTTTAATAATATCCGGTCACACTCGAAAATTTTTCGCTCTTGAAAATATGGCAGCCGTCAAATTTTGTGTAACAATTGATTTACTTATTTGTGCCGATAAACCCAAAAAAGGAAAAGGGTTAGAACATAGACTATTGTCTACTACATGTAAAAAAATTTCTTTTACACATGTTCGGAATTCATGTCAGGCTGATCCGGAACGATCAAAATTTGAACTCACTGATTGGCTATTTTTGTACCCGTCCCTATGCCTAAGATTCTGTCTGTCTTTTGTTTGGCATGGACATCTGCTAGACAGACTTGCAGATCTCTAAGTATGCCTAAAAAGGTATACACGATAATAAGAATGGTTATACGCAGTATATCTGAAAAGGTATACATAATAAGAAGAGTGGTTATAGTATATCTAAAAAGGTATACATAAAGAATGATTATAGTATGTCTAAAAAGATATAATATGCCTTTTGTCTACGTATAATACCCTGTTTGCATATATTGTTTAAATATTCGATTATACTGATATGAAGATACACATTTATTCTAAAAGAAAATTCAGAATTAGATTAATGAAATAAATATTGTTATCTCCATTTAAAATTAATTGAACTACCCCCATTGGCACCGACAGACTTTCACTGATCGACATTTTTTTAGAGTGGTACATTAGGGTCAAGTTTATAATTATAACAATACTTGTCTTATACTAAAATTTTTGCGAATTTTTTTTACTAACTTGCAGAAGATGGTTACATAGTAAAATCTTGAGTTACGGCGGTTTTTTTAGAAAAATGGTAGTTTTTGTTTTGATTTCACGTTACATCTGATATTGTAATCTAATTGATCAATCGCTGTCGATCAGTGAAAATCCGACTGAGGATTTGTGTTTTCCGGTGTTACTTTATTTTATATTTTCAATTGTATCATTTTGTAGTCATAGTTAGTGAATGTTCACAGTTTAATATAGCCGTATTCTACTAAAGTTTCTGTCAGTCTTTTCATAATGTGATAATTAAATTGTTGTTTTATCCAAGAGGATACTGTGTTTAATTCTAGTCTATGCACAGTTGATGTTTTTGCTAATTACTGATATAATCAGTTTCTTTCTTTCTTAGAAATTATTCTGATATTTTGTTTTCTTGACTTTTTTAGTCATTTATGAATTCTTGATAGGAATTTGGTTTGTTTATTTTTTTTTTTTTAAGTTAAAGTCCCTATCTTGGGAGTTGCGATGTTTTTATTCAAGTATATTAGGACACAGC